TGAAGCGTTTAAGACATACTGCAGTTATACAAGCTGGATCGGATTTCTTGCATTGAAGATGAGGTCCCAAGGAGAGCTACTACATTTATTCAGTTCGTGGCATGGAGCTCTGATCTCGAAATCTACATTAGAACTGACGAGCTCTGGTTAGTGGACAAATGATGTTGTTCAGTGGCCATGAGTGATGTAGCAGACGCAATGTGAAGTCTTAAAAACGACTTTTAAGTAAAGCGTTTTCAAATCTTTTCTCTTTATGAAGGTCGCCAAAGTTGAGCGCAAGTTTTGGAAACAGACTTACTGTTGGGCGAGTCACGATTACAGCATTATACGTTAGTACTACAGATGCATATTCGTAGCTTATAAAACATAGAATGAGGTTACGTTGGCAGTTAAAAGCACTGCCCCAAAACCGTGACTACTACCGTTTTAAAAAAGAAAAGCGGCTGTATATGTTACTTATAACTTTTGAAGGGAAAGAGCTAGAGACATGTGTTTATCACCGTTGGATGGAGAATAAGCTTTTCGGTGCAAAGTCTTCGAGACCGCCGTTCCTGGACTGTACGATGGATTTTGATTTTCAAACAGTGCAATCGATAACCCGAGCCGAGATCTACAGTTTTACACCAGTCTTAACTCTCTATCTCTTACGATTCAGGAGCTATACGCATTTTCCCGACAAACCCGGTTTCAACTAGTTGACCTTAGGTGATCCTAAAATGGATCAAGATAGAGGAATCGCCCACGCTGAGTCGAGTGGTGATGTTTATTGTTGATTCCAAACGGATCTAAAGTCACTATATCAAGATTTTCAAATTAAACCATTCTACCGCTATGTTGCGTATAGAGCGGATATCTCGAAAATCTTGATATAGTGACTTTAGGTCGTTTGAAACCAAAAATAAACATCACCACTCGACTCAGCGTGGCCAATTCCGCTATCTTGATCCATTTTAGGATCACCTAAGGTCAACTAGTTGAAATCGGGATTCTCGGGAAAATAGCTACAGCTCCTGAATCGTAAAAGATAGAGCGTTAAGACTGGTGTAAAACTGTAGATCTCGGTTTGGGTTATCGATTGCACTGTTGAAAGTCAAAATCCATCGTACAGTCCAGGAACGGCGGTCTCGAAGACTTTGCATCGCAGGCTTACCATGGTACCTTACCTGAAAGCGGAATTTTTGCATACGCTTACGACCCCCGTTGTTCTCTATCCAACTGTGATAACCGCATGTCTCTAGCTGTTTCCCTTCAAAACTTTACAATTAGTCAAAACGGCAGTTTTCTTAACAGGAAATAACTGTCGGGGTGTGCTCCATAGGTGCCACCTTATCCGAATTTTGTGAATTTTTCGCTTTCGGCTGTTTTTTCCTGATCATGAAGATTTTTAAGTGTTTTTTATCGGTAGTTTATGAAGGTTGCCTTTCTCACGTTACAGTCCAGCGAAAGTGTCAGTTACTTTTTGGATCAAAACTATATTTCTATATAACTATCATATCGATATAAACTATATTAACTATATATTTATAATTGTTAACATTTCGGATAAATATTGAATGAAGAATAACGATCGCAAACAAATGTAAATCTTCTAGAGAGAGTTTGTGGTCAAGACAGTATGTTAATTAAAAATGTACTAGTCAAAGAAAAATATGGCACTGACTCACTGTTTGTTTTACATAGGGCAAAATTTTCAAAAATATTGTTTCGAATAATCAAATGCAACAACAGACGATCCCGATTTTCTGTAGATCGACTGACATGTATGTCACGTGGGAGTTTCTTTACTACTTGTGTATATGTGTATGTATGTCCTTCCTTCAATAAAAAGTTCTGTTTACTTGTTCAAATACCTTTTAGAACATGGTAGATAATCTTTTGACATTTACCAGTAATATTTGTACATATCGTACAGAACTATATAAAAATTCTATGTTAATAATATCTAAATGTTTGAAATTTTTGTTCATCATATATCATTTAATCTAAGAAAAATAAAAGTTTATAGATGAGATAAACATCATAAACTAGCTGCTTTATGTATAAAAAAGGTTCTCTTATCTCATTGCCAATTAATGTTAATTACATTAGTATTATATCCACATTATACAGAACTACTATATAATAACCAGACTGTTACAAAAAGACAAAATTCACAAAAAAGAATGGATTATTTATCAATATTGGACGGAAAAAGTAGTGTAACTGAGATTTGTAAAGAAATAAAATTGTTCTGTGTTGTTTACACATGAATTGTATCATCTTTCGTGGCCAATTGTGGTAACAAACTTTCTCGATCTTTGAAAAAAGAGAAAAAAGAGATGTCTCGAAATGTTTTCATTTGATTCACTTACTTTCATAACTCCAAAAGCTGTTTATATCAATTAAAATTGATAATACTAACCCACCTTGACCACTACAACGATAAAGATAGAAATCATTCTCTAGAACGTGTATATTTTGTCACAAATTTACCAATTAATAAGATCTTTTAATGTTATTCTTGTTGAATCAACTGGTTTTACCATATCAAAGATTTCATTCTGTACATTATTGAATGGTGGTACATCTGCGAATGGTCTTGTAGCTAACATTTGAATTATGCCCTGAACAGAGATGAGAAAAAGATACTTTGTTACTACTTGTTATTGAGTTCTTTTTTCTCAAGAATTACTTACTTTGTAAAAATAACTCAAATCACCTGGATGAAGATAGCCTTTATTGTCACTATCCATTATCTGAAATAGGTAGTGTAATGCTTGAGGTGAATTTCGATGTTCTAATGCTAAAGCAAAATCTAAGTAAGATTTGTAATCCATTTCACCGCCATAGGTTAAACATTCTTGAAATACGCGCGAGATAAATACGGGCGTGAGAGTACTGGTGTTATATCTAAAGAAAAGAATAAAATGAATTATCGATTAATATATTTTCAAAAATATCTTTCTAGAAAGAAAATATTTTTAATTTTTAAATTTGACTTTGTTTGAATTTAATAAATTTATTTCAAAATCATTTTTTTCAAAAATCATTATGAAAAAACGAGGCATAGAACGAAAGTTTCTTCTTGTAGAAGAAAATTTGTATTCCATGAGATCCCACAGAACCATATTCAATTTCTTTTCTCAGAAACGATTTCTTGATTCGATATATGAAACTAAAACTCTCTTTTGTAGATATTAATACAGCAGCTAATTTAAAGCGCATTTTAATAATAAAGAAAAAACAATAACTTTTTCTTTAGTTCCACATTTCGACAATATATTTGTCATTATCAAGAAAAATGTGTGATAACAGAGATATATCCCTATCTAGCTGTTCGGTAACATTGTTTAGTATATATATATAAGTACATGTGTGAGACTTTATTCTTATGTTAATATCTCTGTTACCACATATTTTTCTTGGTAATGACAAATATATTGTCGAACGTCGAATTAAATAAAAGTTATTGTTTTCTTATTAATAAAATGCGATTTAAATTAGCTGTTTGTATGTGCTAGAATACTGAATTTATTACCCCTAAATTGTAAAAGTGATTTGTTTAAAAATCTGTTTTTCTATATTGCATTAGACAAATCTTCATCTTATTTTGGTCAAAATATCAAAGTACGAAATATTATGCAAAAATTACGCAGTTGTCAGCATAGAAATCTCTAAAATTGGTCTAAGAAGGAAACAATATTTTTGAAAATCAAAAAAGCTTGTCCTAGTTTTAGATGAGTTGCATCTGTGGTAAAATTTTGCTCCTTATCGGTCAACTCCTGCTAGTCGAAACCGTGACATAAGACAAGTTTATAGAAAAAAGTACTTTTGAGAAAAACGCAAAACAAAATTAAAAAGAGTCTGCAGCTCAGTCTCTAGAAAATCTCCTTAGGCCTTTTTTTTGTATACCAGACAAGGAGGAAACTATGTCCATCGTAAAGCGCACACTTGATAGTGTATGAATCGATCATAAACCGAAAAATGAAAATTTTCACTTCGGAACTGGATACTGGAGTGCCTTTAAAAAAACAAATTTATTCAATATCTGTTTCATCTTTTTTAATACGTTTTTGTGAATTTGAGCTACAAACAGTTTTCGTGCTCTACATCTGTCATATCATATTTCTTATTCTACACATAAATATCTTACCTGATGAGCCTGAAACTGTATAATTTGATATAATGAGTTCTTTTTTCTAACAAAGTAATGCGTAGACACGAAAAGTAATTTGTCATGTTTTGTGGTCCTTTTTTCTCACGAGGGAAGGCCACCAACTGTCCAATCGCTTTTGAGACGAAACCTAGTGGATTATAGGTTATAGACTATATAATATGACTATGGCAGCTGCCCATAGGTCTTCGGAGATCCAGCTTTGGGAAAACTAGTTTATCAGAAACTCTGAAAAATAGTCTTTCTTAATGAGCCTTGGTTGTAGCCTGCACATTCCTGATTAAAATGAGACATCTCCCAGCTCTACATGAGTTTTCTTTGCAAAGTTATAGAATTTACAAGAAAGCCCTAAATGTTCATTGTTAGGGCTTTTCTTATTAATCTTATAACTTTGCAAAGAAAACTCATGTAGAGCTGGAAAGTGTCGCATTTTAATCAGAAATGTGCAGGCTACAATCAGGCCTCATTAAGAAAGGTTTTGGCTATTTTTTAGAGTTTCTGATAAACTGGTTTTCCCAAAACCGGATCTCCGAAGACCTATTGGCAGTTGCCATGGTCATATTCGGAATCAGCATAGTCGATAACCTATAATCGACTAGGTTTCATCTCAAAAGCGATTGGACAGTTGGTGGTCTTCCTTCGTCAGTAAAAACAATTTCACATCTTTATGGATTTTTATCAAAAGATAGCCTGTTGATATCGTAACAAAACAGATAAAAAAATTTCAGAACACTGAAAATGAAGAAGTACTTAAAACTGTGCGTCAGTTTCCCATAATAAATGTCTCATCATGCTTTTTACTTTTTTTTGTTCGAACTATGACTGTTGATTTAGGCGAAATATTTACCACAAATAGACACCATAATAGAGAACAAACGCTGAAAATTTTAATACAACTAATTTTGATTTTTTTGTTTAAATCAAATCAAAAAACAGGTAGGCTTTTTAATAGGCTTCTTAACCCTTTCGGGACCGGTGACGCTTTAAAGCGTCATTAAAACGTCAAAAATCGAAATAAGCCGTGTTTTCCAAAACTTTCTTTTGAAGAAACATCCCTCAAAAATTAGATCATAATCAAATTTC